TTTAAATACCACATTATCTTTTCATAGTTAAATATCTAAATTACAATCACAATCTTATGTATTTAAATTTCAAATTACCCTCTAACATCTCTTTTATTTCTCTATTATCTTTATATAAATATCAATATCTATGAAAAAATTTAATTCACTACACAACTCTAAAAAAAATATATGCGTCATTATAGTTTTCAATAACATGTTCAAAAAATCTATCAATAGATCATTACTCTTTTCAAATAAAAAAATAACATTATGTATATATACATGTTTTTCTATCTATACTACTAATAATTTACATTACTAATAAAAGTACCTTAAAATGAAAACCTTTTGATTCATTATTTTACTCTTATAAATAATTTTAAATACCACACTATCCTTTTGTAGATAAATATCTAAATTACCATCATATACTTACGTGTTTATATATTCAAATTACATCTAACATCTCTTTTACTTCTCTATTCACTATGTATGAATATCAGTATCTATGAAATTTTTTAATCGACTATGTTACCCTTAAAAAATATATGCATCACTATAGTTTTCAATACAATGTTCAAAAAATCTTTCTAACTTTCATCAATCTAACATTACTCATTTCAAATATAAAGATAACATTATGCTTATATATGTATATTTTTTTATCCAAATTTCAACAATTTTATTTTTATGATAAAAAATAATCTTTTATGTAGTTTTTTTTAAAATAATTTATATTAAATCAACGTAATTCTTCAATCACAGTAAACTTTTCATGTTTTATTAAGGGTTTATATAAAAAAAATATAGTTTATTTTTAAGTAAAACTTGAATTTTAGAATTTTAATATTCTTTTAAAATATATATTATAGAGCAGTATATTATATTTTAGGTTTAATAACACTTTTAGTCTCTGAAATATCTCTCTCTCTCTCTCTCTCTCTCTCTATATATATATATATATATATATATATATATGTTTTATCAGTTTTGTCCTCATTATATCAATTTTGTCAATTTAGACTCTAAAGTAACTTAGTAGTTTAAATGATATATACATAGACAACATGTTAAGTTTTTGACATAAATGATCACGTGTTGGTCACGTGATACTATCTGACGGAATGACACGTGGTCACTTCTATCAAAAAAATTAATGGGCTGTCTGTTTAGGGACCATTTAAACAAGAATTGAATATTTTTTGGATAAAATTGACAAAATTCATATATTAAGGACGAAATTGACTAAAGCACATATTTTAAAGACCCAATTAACCCTATATTTTATTCCTATTGACCTAACTAATTGCTAATTATAATAAGCATTGATTAAAATATTGACAATTATTGTTATTTTATTCAATGAATTATAAGTTAAAACCTAATCAAATGAATTATTTTTGTCTTTTTTTTATAGTTAGAACAATAAATAGCTGAGAACAAACAATATTTTTCCAATTTTATAGTATAATGCAAGCTATAAAAATATAATTTTGATAAATTTGAGATGATATTTAATGTAAATATACATGTATTTAATATTTTTATTAATATTTTATATACAAAAATTGTTCACGTACAAAACATGTGTTGCATTACTAGGACTATAAAATGTCAACAAAAGTTTTGATTGAATATAATAACCTTAATATAATTAATACTCATTTTATCCTTTTAGACATGTGACCTTCAACTTTTTTCAAATGCCTATACGTGTGAAAATATATATGCCCTTTAATCTTTCTTTAATTGACTTAAATATTTACATAAATTATGTTAATTATTCCTAATGCATCTTTACCCTTTTGTCGTCCACAACAGACACCTATCTTTTCTTCCATGTGATCTCGTCGTCTTTCATGTCAATAAATGGTTTGTGTGAATTTATGAGCATACAACTATAGCAACTATTTACAAACCTTATTTTCTAAGTTTTTAAAAAATATAGGAAAGAATTTTCGATTTGCATAATCGTATGATTTGCAGAAATCCAATTTGCAAGCACTCTCAAAGATAATTCATTCCAAAGAATTGGTAGCGAAAGCAAAATTTTGACCCCCGTCAAAGGCCTATGAAGCTACCACTGAGCACAAGCAACATGTAGATTACAACATGGCCTCTTTGATTACCTTTTTTATTGTTAAAAGAACACTCATACGCTTGGTAATTCCAAAATAATTAAGTCTATCCCCTTCTATGATATTCAAATGTTGTGTAGAAATGAATTTTGGTTATTGTGGATTTTTTGATGAATGCCACTCATTTTATGACTACTCTTTATACGAAAAATGGATAGTTATAGACAGGATTCCTAAAGTGCGTTTAGAACAAGAAGGTTGTTGTTGAGTAATGCTAGGATTTGAAAATTGCAAATGGAAAAGAAAAGCAGCTTGTCATGTATCTATGATAGATGTATAGGTATCATTATATTTCTTTTGGGACTTCCCAATATTTAACCTGGTAACGAAAAATTTGATTTTCATGTACACTACCTGTTTGAGCATTTGATTTTTTTAAATAACTGTCTTATTAAAATTATCTCTTCCCCAATTTTCCTGATATATTATTTTTGACCTTGTAGATATTAAAGAGAGATGAGGAAGGATCATACATATGAAGTTATAAAGGTGTCATCAAAGTCTTGGAATTATTTGGTCTATATGCTTGATGCGCAATTGAAATGAAGACTCTGGGACTACTAACTTTACGTAAGTTGGTCTAATGGAGTTTTTCTTATGAGTGGTTTAGATGGACCAATGGTCTATTTATAACGTGCTTAGTTTTATGAAGTATGTCTATGAAATTTGTTTTACGTGCTCAACGTTAGCTAAGCATTAGGGTTAATAGAAGATTGTTTCCTTGTATTTTACATGCAGGGAAAAAAAGAAAATTCAATAGAAATGAATAAGCATGCTTTAGCCGATTAGATTTTCGTTTTGGATTTTACTTGTTATCGTGTAATTTGATTTTTAAAATTCAAAAAAAAATCACATGCAACGGACGTGTGCATCAACTAATATAATAAAATAACTAGAAATTTGTACTACATTTTGTATAAGACAATAACAATGATTTTGATTAATCTAAAGTGATCCATAATACATGAATTAAATGGGGTGTGTGTGTGTTTTGATATATTTAGTGTGTGTATGTTTTTTTTTGGTGTCGTAGTGTGCGCGTGGATGTGTGTGTTTTTTGGTGTACTTGTGTATGTATATTTGTGTATTAGTATATGTGTATGTGTATTTTTGTGTGTGCGTGTATCAATGTGTGCATTTTAGTGTATTGGTATGTGTATATATTTTGGTGTATTAATGTATATTTTTGGCGACTTAGTGTGTGTGTGTGTGTTTTGATGTCCTAGTGTATTTGTGTGTTTGAGTATATTAGTTGTGTGTGTGTGTGTTTTGGTATCTTAATATATGTGTGTTTTGGCATATTAACATGCATGTATTTAGTGTATTAGAGAGAGAGAGAGTGTGTGTGTGTATTTTGGTGTATTATTGTGCATGTTCATATTTTGGTGTATTAGTGTGTGTGTCGTATTGCTGTATCAACAAGTGTGTGTTTTTTTTAGTATTAGTATGCTGTATATTTTGGTGTATTAGTGTATGTATATATATATTTTGGTGTATTAATTTGTGTGTTTTAGTGTACTAGTGTGTGTGTGTGTGCGTATTTTTTTTTTGATATATCAGTGTGTATTTTAGTGTATTAATGTGTATTTATATTTTTTGTGTAAAATATGTTATTTGCTTTGAAAAAGTAATTTTTTTTGTTTTTTTGAAAAAATACTATTTTTTTATTTTGCTTCTTAAAAGTTTTTTTTTGGCTGAAAAATAAACTCTCCTTTTTAATTTTTTTTTTAATATTTTGCTTTAAAAAGCGAAAAGCAATGTTTTTTTTTGAAAAGTTCGTAATAATATTGCCTATTTTTTTAAGGGAGAATTACACCAAAACACCCTAAAATTTGTCACTTAAACCCCTTAATATTTAAAATATTATACATACTTCTAAAATTTGTACGTGCATAACACTTAAACCCCTATCTTCAATGTCTGTTAGAATATCCGTTAGTATATTATACTCAAACCCGCAAAAGTTTATATGTGCGTAATATTTAGATTTCTCAAATTTAAAATATTATACTCAGATAAAAAAAATCAAATAAAAGATAAAATATCAAATATTTTAAATTTTATAACCAAAATTCATGTTCTATTATGTTATTTTTTAAAATTAAATTAAAAAATCATATCAATAAATGACATAATATAACATTAATTTTAATTTTTAATTATGATATAAAATTAATGACAAAAAATTAACCAAAATTCATGTTATATACTAATTATGATTTTTTAACAAAAAATTGTATTTTTATTTTTAATTATATATCAATAAATGACATAATATAATATAAATATTGATTGTAAAATTTAAAATATTTAATATATTCTATCTTTGATTAAAATATTTTTTGTCTAAATATAATATTTTAAACGTAAAGGATCTAAATATATCTATTAAACAACAAAACAAACCCAATTAAATATTGAAGATATTGCGCCTATTATAGTTTAGTCACTTTTTTATTTTTTATTTTTTAATTTTATTCTAATAGATAATATAATTATATACTAATTATAATTTTTTTAAAAAAAATTTAGATTTTTATTTTTGACATTGACGGCAAGGATCTGAGTGTAATTTATTAACGAATATTGATGATAGAGGTTTAAGTGTACGTACATTCAAATTTTAGGCATTTATGTGTAATATTTTAAATATTATAATTTAAATGATTAAGCGACATTAGGACGTCCGAATATAATTCTCCGTTTTTTTAATCCTTGTTTTTTTTTTCAAAATTCACTGCAGTGAATAAACATTTGGAATCCGGAGCCCCCTTTTATCACTGACCCACTACAATAGCGGCTGAGGTACAATTTTGGCTTCTCACTTACGCATGTTCTCACTCCTCTCTTCACTTTTTCCCCATCTCTCTCTGTCTGCATGCTCCGGCGACGCGCGTGATATCCAATTTCCGGTGAGTTTACCTAAGAACTTATTTCTCAGGCGAACCTACGTGATTTTTGGGACTAAAAGTGTCAGACCATCAGGTTCTCTCTGTTCGGTCGGAGATTAACTTTCTTATTTTCGCCTCACTTCTCTGTCTGTCTGATATGTACATTCATATGTATTACCGATCGTATACAAAAGGAGAGAAGAGGAGACAGTGCGGTTAGAGAGAGAATAAAGTGTTGTGTCGTTACTGTTAAGAGAGAAGCTAGTTTCAGTATGTCATGGTGCGTCTTTTTTTTTTTTAAGGGAAATTTCAGTAACTTTTTCTATTTTATCTTAGTTTCAAGAACACTCTTTTTATTTTTTAAATCTTCACGGACACCCCTTAAAGATTAAGATGTTAATTAGAATGTACTTTTCTTAAATTATCTATGATATATTTGAAAAAATTTATCTGCATCCCCTCTAAATTGACATATCTTCAATGAGACCCTTTATTTTTTAAATTTTTTTACGTATTAAAATTTAGTTTGAGCTAATTAAAATTTATTTTTTATGTATTAAAAATTGAGCCGATTAAAAATTAATTAATTTTTAATCGACTCAAATTAAATTTTAATCAGCACGCATAGAATTTTAATCTGTCTGAATTTTGATATATAAAAAAATATAAATTTTAAACGATTCAATTTTTAATACATAAAAAATAAATTTTAATCAACTTGAATTGAATTTTAATAAATAAAAAAAATATAAATTTTAATCGGCCCCAACAGTTCTAGTAGAGCTCAAATCGACTTGAATTTTAATATCTAGAATTTTTTTTTAATAGATTTGAATTTTAATACGTAAAAAAATAAAATTTAATCAGTTCAAATTAAATTTGAATTGACTTAAATTTTAATACGTAGAAAAATGACTTAACTTAAATTTTAATGCGTAGAAAAATGAATTTTAATCGATTTGAATTTTTACATGTAAAAAATAGATTTTAATCGAATTTTATGTAAAAAAAAAGTGTGGGGTTTATGTGGGACATTTTTTGGTATTTTAGATGATTTGTTTTTGATAGAAATGGTGCCTTAACCCGGGGGTATCAGGGATGTTTTTGATAATAGAGAGAGTGATTTTGAAGATATAAAAACTAGAAGGGGCGTGGTTGAATTTTTTTTTAAATGATTTTTTGCTTTATTTTGGGCTATTTTATGATAACTGTTGATATTTTACTGCTGTAATGTTTCTGTTTTTTTCACAATTTTTTCATATTATAGTCCTTTTTGTCTATATTTATGAGCACATATCTATTTTTGCACACTGTATCTCTGTTTGTTTGTTTGGTTTTTTTTTTTTTTTAAAAAAAATCGACATATATTTCCCATGTTGTCAATTATTTTTGTATGTGTATTTTGCAGGTGACATCTCAGGTTTCCTTAATATGCTGAGTGAGACAGAGTATATTTATGACTATATTACTTTGTTTGGTTCATATCAATCTCATTTTTTCATAGAAACTGGCTTTATATATAGATTAGTCTTTCACATTTTAAAATGCGATTAAATCTCATTTGTGAGTGAAAAATGAGTTTTGTGACTAGGACTTTGATTCTCAGTTCATTCGCCTCTGAATTTATAGGTGCTTTGCTCATGTGTGAGATTGCCTATTTAATCTCATATTGCAGAAGACAATACCTAGTATATATATTTGGCATCTCTATATTCCTCAACACTGTACCAAGCAGGCAATTCAGTCACTCACATCAAATATCGAGTAGAAGAAGGCCTCGTTCTTCAAAAACATAAGACGACAGTCATGGGCGAGACGTCTGTCCATCCTTTCCCTAACAATGATGGTGCAATTGGTAATCACTATGTTGTCTCCCTTTGGGTACTTGTGTGTTTTTTATGCGGTTGAATCAAAAGATCTAGATGCTGAAGTCTGAGCATTGTATTAGAGGTGTCTGAAACATAGATATTGGGATCGTAGATACCCCTAACGTCCCACGAACCAGGTTCGCACGACTCTTTTATAAGGTGGGTACGTTAACCAGATCACTCAAAGTCTTGACCCCAAATTATAAGTCTAACCGTAAATTGATTCATGATATAAGTAATCCACATCATAACTCTATCTTGTTATTTCTTTATTTTGGTGTTCTTTAAAATAAATATTTATTAACTATGTGTATACCAATATATTATTCTATATAAATGTTACAAAATGAACCACGACTCAAAATAGTTAACCAACTAAGGCTACTCTTACTGTACTGTGTATTAGAACAAGTATCGTACCACGTACTAAATCGATCCACGATCCATGTAACGTTGGTCTGAATGGTTTGTTTTAAATCTGGGCATAGTTTTTATTATTCATCCAGACATAGGAGAAACCTATGTTATAAATTCATCTCGTACTTTTTTTTTTTCTGTTTTTCTCTTTCTTTGTATTTTTCAGAATTTTTTAAGAATATATTATCTGCAATCAAGTTTCTATATAAAACAGTGATATTTAGCAAAGTATGAACCTTTTTGAGTTTGTGTGCAGAAATTTCAAGGACACTGAGAGAGGTTCCACCAGGTGATTACCTATTTCAAATCAAATCGTTCTCATTGCTTTCCAAGGCAGAAGAGAAAAGATTTGACTCGAGTGACTTTGAATCAGGTGGTTACAAATGGTGAGTTCAAATAGAAATCCTTTCTTCTCACTTCTGGGAAGTCTTGCTTTTTAAAATCCGAGATAAGTTTTCTCATTGTGTGCTTTGCCTTATTTGCAGGAAATTGTGTCTATATCCGACTGGATATGAGAAGGAAAATGGGAAAGGGCATATCTCTCTCTACTTAGCAATATCAGAGGCAGATACATTACCTCTTGGTTGGGAGGTTAATGTCGAATTCAAATTGTTTGTGTATGATCATATCCGAGACAAGTACTTGACCCTCCAAAGTAAGATTTCTCAAAATGCACATTCTTGCACTCGTAGTAATAATAAGTCTGTTTAAGCGGTCAGAAAGAGTATAACTTAAATTTTTTCTTTGCGTAACCGGTGTCTGTCATGTATGTAGATGCTGATGGGAGACTAAGACATTTCCACAGGTTTAAGACGGAGTTCGGTTTTGCCAAATTACTTTCCCTTGACACTTTCAAAGATGCTTCTAACGGATACCTTATTGATGACTCCTGTGTGTTTGGGGCCGAGGTTTATGTCATTAAATCTACTGGCAGAGGAGAGTGTCTTTCTTTGAAGGAGGAAACTTATTTCAATAGTTACGCTTGGGAGATCAAAAAAATTTCTGAGAGAAAAGAGAAGCGTTTGTTCTCTGAACCTTTCACCATTGGAAAGCACAAATGGTTTGAGCCCTTGGTTCCTCAATTCTTATTCTCTATGTACTATAACCAGATGGAATTGTTTCTTATGTACTGCTTTCTTTATTCATCTAGGAAGATACTTGTTTATCCCGAAGGACATGGCAGTGGAAAGGGCAAAAGCTTATCTGTCTTTCTATGTTTAGATAATTGCGGATCCCTTCCAACCAAGGTAAAATTGTATGTGGAATTTAGCGTCTTGGTAAAAGACCAACTCAATGGCAACCACTGCGAAATGAAAGGTGAACACTTGCCCTCCATCTTTAACATATCACATATGTTCTTTTTACAGAGACTGAAACTGGTTTGTCACTATTTTCCTTTTAAAATTAGTTTGTTGCCTTCCTCTAAAATTTTCCTCTCAATTATTCTATCACAGGTGGTTACTGGTTCTGTGTGACCTAAGCAAAAGCGGGGGTTTTGATCTAATTTCTCTTCCTGATCTGCATGACGAATCGAAGGGGTTCGTAGTACTAGATAGTTTGGTTGTTGAAGTGCATATTCACGTGATGTCTGATGTGAAAGAGTTCTCCTCCAAAATGCCTGCTTTATAAACAGTGTCTGTAGAGGCCATACTCCGAAAGCCAATGTTGTTCCTTTTCCTATTTTTGGTGAATACCTTGCTAGTAACCACTTTCAAGCGATTCTGCATTATATTACGGGAAATTGAAGGGAAGGGATAATGGAGTGGATCTAAATCCTTATTACACTGAGCTGATCACAAAGATGTACTCAGATTTGACTGACTTCACAGTAAAGTAAAAAATAAAGGGAAATTTGGGTGCCGGTATACATAACTTATTGGGGGTGGAAGTCCATTTGAAAAAACATTTTGTGTAAAAGTCTATTTCGAGTTTGAATTACTATCATACTCTTAAACTTAAGAGAAACCAATCAGAAAAGAAGCCACTCTTCTCGAAAAAAAAGGCAACTAAATTTGTGTTGAATTTGGTTGTGGATTTTTGCTTGGGAATTTTGAATCAATATTAATTATTGCAGGTTCTAATTATTATGAAGAGTCTATTAATATGGAGGCTGAATTTTTGGGGTTATATGATATACTTGAGCTTGAAATTTGGATTTCTCATATCCTAATCAGTTTGAATTTTCAAATAACCCATGCTTTTAAGGACGCTAATGCAACAATAGATTTGTAGGCAAACAAAGGGATTCTTGACCAACAACCAAGGATTTATCTTAGTTGGAAGGATTTTACCGTAGACGGTGGGTTACATCTTTGCGGGATTATCAAGGAATTTTCAATCAAATGGGGAAATTTCGTTGGAGGAAGATTTTGGAGGTTTCGATTACTCTTTCGGGTCTTCTTTATTTTTTTTTTAATGCAATCTTTAAGTATTTTTTCATTGATCAACTATTAATTGTATTAGATTGCATAAAGTGGTAAGGTTCTTTGTACCCCTAGTTTCATGTTATTTTTGTTTTATTAATAAAATGTGCCTCGCTATAACGAGATTTAATGAAATAAAATAAAATAAAATTACAGTTGTGACTTCATAGAATGACAAATTAATTTCATGGCTTAACCATTACATATTACAACAAACATTGGATTGCGTTAATAGAGAGACACCATATAGCGCAAACTAATTTCATGTCTTGACCACTACTAAGTACAAAAAGCATTGACTTGTGTCTACAGAGAGACACACCACAGAATGACAATTTGATTTCAGTACTTGTCCACTACATGCAACACAAACAATGGTATTATGTTCATAGAGTGACAACTTAATGACAATTTAATTTCAGTACTTGTCCACTACATGCAACACAAACAATGGTATTATGTTAATAGAGTGACAACTTAATTTTATGGTTTGACTTATACAGACTACAACAAACATTGGATTTTGTTCATAGAGAGACACCATAGAATAACAAATTGATTTCATTGCTTGACCAGTACAACTTATAATAGACATTGAATTGTGTTCATAAAGAGACACCACAGAGTAACAAAATTGATTTCATTCCTTGGCCAGTACAGACTATAACAAAAATTGGATTGTGTTCATAGAGAGACACTATGACGTGATAAACTAATTGCATAGCTTGGTCACTACAAAGCTATGATGTCTCTCTTTGATGTCACTTTTTGGTCTTACTTTTTTTTGGATTGTGTTTTTTCTGATGTTACTCTTTGTAATTACAAAGGCAACAACACAAAAAGAAAATAGTAACAACAATAAAACTGGTTTTTGATTCTATTTTATTATATAAATGGTTTCTTAAATTAATGGATAATTAACCGTTTGAATTTTGAAACGATTCCATTAATAATCTTGTCCGTCAAAGTTTTGTTTTTTCTCCATTGACCTATTTACGGATTCTATTTTCTTCAAACAGACACCGAAACTCATCCTCTCCAAGTAGACGTTGTATCGATTACGGTTTCAAAAATGTCAACAACGTTTGTTTTATTTTTTCTTCGTTCAACCATTTACGGATTCTATCCTCTTCAAGCAGCCATCGAATCTCAACCTCTCCAACAAGACATTATATCGATTTTGTTTTAAAAAAATCGATACAACATTTATGTGTTGTTAATTGTAGGAAGGGCCCTTCATTAAGTGGCATGGATTACTCTGAAAACTGGAGACAATGATTTTTATTTTAGTTATTTGAGTTAAATTGTACAATAATGATATGAACACCATCTTTGTGCACCACCTAATGTGGGATGATCCTAGCCATTGAAAATTCAATGAAGTTAATGGGATCCATTAATCTAATGGTTCACATTGAGATGTTACAGAAAGGTGATAAGTATAGTATTGTTGTAAATTGTATTAGTGTAGCTTTCGCTAGGAATCTTAGTACTCCTTGCTATTGTAAAGCATTGTAGGTAAAAAAAAAAAAAAGTAGAATGGATTAAATCTGGTTGCTAGGGGCCTGGTTCTTCCTGTAACTGTTGTAAAGCTAGAGAACTTTTAGGCTATGCTTATTTAACTATCTTCTAAACTACCGGAAAAAGGGAAAAGATATTCTAATAGCTGAAGTTTGTAATTGTTGTCCTCTTTCACAATATTTAAGGTTTGCTTGTTACACCGTTCAATCATTCGTTCAAGCATATGTTTATTTACCTGCCTTATTTGCCAGTTTATTTGATTGTTGTTGTATGCGTTTAGCTATATTACTGATTTAAAGGCAAATCCTGCATAATTAAGACTAACAGTACTTCTAAATGTGCAAACTGAAAAAGCCACAAATCATCCAGAAGTTGGTATCATAAACTTTTTCTTGGCCAAATATCCACAATACTAGCCAAACCAACAAACCCTAATCAGAAAAAAGTGTACGTCAGTTGGTGGTGGGTTGTTTGTGGGGTGGACCTAGATGGTGGACAGCGACGGAGATGATAAATGGTGATGTGTTTTTGGTGGTGATTTCAGGTTTTTAAAAGATGTTGGGTGGTGAATTATGTTCAGACTGTGGTGGCTATGATTATGAGCAAGGAAAGAGCAAAGCAAGGCTTTTTAGAACCCCCGGTAAGTCATGGCATCCTTAGGCAAAAACTATGCTCCGTCCCTACTTACATGGCTTCAAATGGTGGTTGATGGAGCGTTGGTATGGTGTCGATGAGAAACAAGACTAGGCCACTCATTCGGCATTAGGGTGCACTTACAAACAGTAACCTCTGCCAATTTTTCCATTCACCAACAAAATCCACAACGGTTTCATATCAGAAATTAAAGTATATTACAGCCCCAAAGTACAAGGATTTATGGTGAGAACATTATTATGCTACAAAATTGTGGCATGCAACTTCTGCCCTATTTATATTGCATTTTTCTACAACATCATCTGATCTTCTAAGAGCACTACTTCTGACCATAATATCTGTCTAAATTCTAGCTTATTCTAGCTAATCAAATATTATGTTCGTGTCATAGCTTAGGTGTTACTTTCTGGAACTTTTTTAAAGGCAGTATGCCAGCCTGCATGGTTTAACTGGGTGTGAAAATAATGGGACCCGTATACCAACCTGGAAAAAAGTCATGCATCATACCTATCTAGCCACTAACAATATTGGTCTGCCACCAAATCATTTCTTCTCTATAAATGCTTTCTGCTACTTGAAATGTTCAGTAAAAACACAATCAAAATTTTTCCTCTCGCCAGACGCAATGAGCATACAATGGACAACTCGTCATGTAGGCAGAGACAAAACTACACCCAAAATCTTGAAACAAAGACTTACAGTTGACGAACCTACTAATCCCGTGGTATCCAAAACATCAAAAAATAATGACATTACATCCAGCTTGATTGTTGGTATTTATAGAACATCAGCTGCCCAAAAATTCC